GCAAAGAGCAATTTTATAATTACATCACCTCACCTTATTCAATCTGAAAGGAGTATCGGTTGTGGCCTCTTTACTGAATTTCTCCTGCCAGTTTCCTTTGAAATAGATGGCATTAACTAGCACAAGTTTGGTCATATCATCAACCATGCCTGCAGCCAACAATTCTGGAATTTTCCCTAAAGAAATAAAGTAAGTTTTTTTTTTTTAAATTCACATATTAGCATTATATTTTTAAATTGCATTGAAATGCAATTTAAATTCATAGTTTTTATTTAATTCCCATTAATGTATTAAGTTAGGGAAGCCCTTCCAGTGTGTTTTGATTGTAAATAAACGAACTAAAGGGTTTAAAAGTTAAAAACAGGACAATCTTTTCTGCATTGTATGAGAAAAAATGAGCCTTCTTTTGTGAATGGCCATTCTTTAGGAGGCATAAAAAATATTTCTTAATGAAAATGATTTTTAAATAAATTACTTCTTCAAAGCCTATAAGTGGAGGCTGCTCGCACAGAAAATATTTTCACACATATCCGAAGGCTAGGCCAGTTAGTCCTCTGAAACACCAGTTGTTCTGTGACCGCAGCATGGCCATGAAGAATGGCTTGGATTGGAGATAGGTGTTTGGTAGGTGCCTTGAAGCAGACCTTGACAAGGTTCGAGAGAGTTTAATGGAGAAACAGCTGAGATGGAGCCACCCCTGACAGCTTAGACAAGACATTTGCCAAGATACTAATGGCCACAGCAGTTTGTGTCACAAGTATGAGAATACTCGAGGCCTAATGCTCGAAAATCGTGCAAGGGGCTCAGCGCCTGCTTCCGCGGCTACCTCGGTGACTGCCACTGCAGCTTCATCTGGAAGATCATCTGGTCTAGTTAGCATATTATGCTTTTATTATTATAGACTAGAGAACCCATGCACAAAATTCATGCACTGACAGGAGGGACGTGGTGTCCCACAACCTGGCCAGCGCCTTCTCACAATCCAGGGAGTGGGACTAAGCCGTCAGTGAGACAACCCTAACACTGCCACAGAGGCTGAGAGTCTCTTGCCACCGCCGCAGCACTGCTAGCCGTGAGCCCGGCTTCTGGCTGAGTGGCACTCCCTCTGTGGGAATGCACTGACCACCATGGAGCAGCTCCTGCATTGAGTGGGATCGGGCCCAAACCAGCTCTCCAACATCCCCCAAGGGGTGCTGGATTGTAAGAAGGCATACGGAAGGCCAAGGGACCCCACAGGTGCACGATTGGGGCTGGACAGAGATGCGGGAGGTTGGCCTGCCAGAAAGGGACCAGGAGAAGGCACCAGAGCATGTCCTGCCTGTTATGCTCAATCCTGATTGGCCAGACACCAACAGTAAGCTAACTTACTGGTCATAGCATCTGCCCCCTGGTGGACAGTGCATATCATAAGGAGCAATTGGGTGGCCTTAGCATATCACTAGCATATTGTGCTTTGGTTGAACAGACGACCGACCTGATGACCCAACACTTAGCATATTAGGCTTTTATATAGGACTAGAGGCCTGGTGCATGAAAATTCGTGCACTGGGCAGTCCCCTCAGCCGAGCCTGCCCCTCCCACAGTGCAGGAGCCCTCAGGGGATGTCCTACTGATGGCTTAGGCCCGCTCCATGTGGGAGGCGACAAGGCCAATCAGGGAAAGGCGCCACCCCCATCACCCCGCTGCTATGGCTGCTACTACAGCCGCCGCGGCTGCCAGCCCTCCTAGCCCTCGCAGCCAGTGTGGCTTAGTCCGAAAGGACATCCAGAAGACATCTGGTCTAATTAGCATATTACCCTTTTATTAGTATAGATTCTTTTCCATAATCTGGGCCAGGATGGATTTCCCTCAAAGGTTTATTCTTTTTATCCTACATTCAATGTTAGTTTTAATTTTAAAACGTGGTTTTGTGAATTTATGGGCGTGGTTTTGAATTTATGGGGAAAATATTTAGCTGCTTCTGTGAAAGCATGTTGAACTTCCTACTTTGAGGAATTTCCACATTTAAAAGCTGTCTGGCACTGGGCAGTGGCAGAGTTTACCCCCAGGAAGAAGGTGAGCGCAGAGGAAAAGGGCAGGGAATTATCTGCAGGCTGGGAAAGTGGAAGGAGGAAAGGAACGGCCAGTGTGTAATGAATGCCTACATTCGGCCCACTCTCTTACCTTCAGTCTGCCCTTTGACCCACTCGTTTATCACCTTTCTTGCACCTTCAGAAGCTCGCTGAAAATCTACACTGGCCAGTTCAGCACCATACATTTTCTGGGTTGAAGCTAAGAACTCCTGTTTAAAATAAAGGAAAAACCCCCCACAAAACTCCTATTACATACAGAAATGGTTTTCTAAAATCCTTACAAGCAGTTGAAATAGTCCTAAAAGACATAAATTTCATTATAACAAAAACTTTCTAACCATTACACTTTTTGCATTATGGTAAAAAGCACATAACACTAAATTTACAACCTTAATCATTTTAAGTGTACAATTCAGTAGTTTTGGTCTCACATAAAATTTACCAATTCTTTTCTGTCCTTTGGCTGACATTTTCATAAATAAGTATACACTGATTGTTCCTGTAAGTGAATTATGGAATTCACTCTTGCTTTAGTAACACAGCCAGGGTCAGTCTTTTCCTGTGAAGATTATCAAATGAAATCAAATCCTTAATGGGGATACTGCCATCTGTTTAATTCTGGATTTTATATTCTCAGCTCCCGTGTGTGGGAGGCAACTGATTGATGTTTCTCTCACATCTGTGTTACTCTCTCTCTCTCTCTTCCACTCTCTAAAAATCAATGGAAAAAATATCCTGGGGGCGGGGGATGGGAGTGAGGTCACCGGGAGGAACTCATAGGTTTTCTCTCCATATAACCTATTAGCAAGTTTCAGAATATAGGGAGCTCCGCGCTTGTTGATATCAGCATTCAGACTCTGAAAACTTGAATGAATCTCCTTAACTGCATCGAAGTGAAGAGTCTAAAATAGAGAAAACATTCCTTCTATAGCCATTTATTTTGAAACGGATTCCTTGACATTTGCTTCTATCAAATTAAATTAATGCTTTTATTACTAATTATCAATAATTCCCAGCCCAATACTTTATTAAACTTTCATTGGAGAACAAAAAAAAATAAAGAATCTAAATTGTATCACTTTGTGAGACATAATTACATTAAAAGCTCTTTTTATTTAGCTTTTTATAATTATATTCCTTTGAATGTAAGTGGTTAATAGGCTAAATATTTATCTATGTCTGCTTTTTCTCCAAAGAAAATCATAACTGGTATATTCATATATAAATTCTGTATGAATTAGTTTTTTACTGCAAGTTCTCAGAAATAAACAGTAAAATTAAGAATCATCCCCTACGTGGGAACACAAAGATATTACAGAATTGAGGGGATTTTTAAACTACACTATCAGCATCAGTAACTTAAAAATAACATCTATAAACTTAACATTCAGCAAAAGTTTAATTTTCATATTACAAATCAAGAATCCCTTCATGGTTTTATGAGTCCTGGGCTGGTTCCTTATTTTAACACACAAAGAATAAACCTACACAATGTACAAAGTCCAGTTACTCACTCAGATAGGGAATGTTTGCACAGTTGCAATGATAGATCTGCTTTAATGGAAAAGCATGGGAACCCTTAAAACTATTTTTTGCTGAGATAATACAGTCCCTGGATACACCTCAAACAGAAGCTGACATTACCCTGCAAGAAGCAACTAATCATTATTCCCAGGGGTAAAATAAAAAGTAGGTTTAGGAAAATAAAAAAGTGCTTTCATGTCTGCAGTGGTAAAGACCACTGGTTATTCATAAAATGCTGAAATAAAAGATTTGCAGCTGGAAGAGATGGATAAACTTGAATTCAAGGCAGGACCTTGACCAGTTACTGGCACCTTGTAATCTTTCCCCTACTTCAAGGAGAGCTAGAGTTCCCCTCTCAGAATTCAACGAAGTGGTGCACCCAGTACCCATAAAGGCCAGGCATTACTGCTTCTTTTCCCTGTAACAGGGACCTGCCATACCACCCAGAGCTTGGCCCTGTTCCTGCAGCGGCTATGCCTCACTACTTTTCTCTTCTTCAGTGCTTCCTACCCACAAAGGCACTTGTGCCAGGCACAGGGATATTTCTCAACAGTGTATAACGGCACGTTGGCCTGTTCCCTCAAAAAGGAAACTTCTCCAGTGTGATGCATTCCTGTGTCATTTTTGTGCTGAAAGGTAACATTACATAGGAGGCATCTATTAATGAGTAGCTAGCTGCTTGCAGAACAGAAACTGAAAAATCTGAAGTGAGAAGAGATGCCTTCAAAGATTTGCCCACTGCAAGAGAAGCAGCATACCACCCGGCCATTGTAACTTTCTTCAACGCTGTATCCTCAGCCAAACAGAAAACAGTGCCTGGCACATAGTATGTGCTCAAAAAAACTCAATCATGAGTGAAAACCTGCATATAAATGACCTGTTCTTGGGGCTTTTCTGAAAGTCTGGCCTCATCGGGTGTAGTTGTGGAACACACAAGCACAGTGTTTAAAGCTCCCTGTAAGAGCTCAGAGGCACACCTTCTTAGGAGGGACTTGCAGGGAACCCAGACTCCTTTTGTTAGTTTCTGCTGACCTTGGACATCTGTGCCTCGGTAGTGCCTCTGGCCCCCAGAAAGACCATGGCCAGCGCTGAGGAAATGCTCATGGGGGAGATGAAGATGTTCCCAGAGGGGTTGCTGTCCTTCAGGGTGCGGAAGAGGTCCACTGCGAACCGGGTGTTGGCCGAGCTCAGCTGCTCCATGGTGAGGCTACAACACAGGACAGAGGCCTAGCACACCAGCAAATATGGCAACGACATTTCTCCACGTCTCCTTCGCCCTGAAACACCCGGAAACTTGTACTTCCTTTTCTTTTTCCAGGAGGACAAGAGCACTGTCTCATGAGCACACAGGTGGGAACTGGACAAGGCTCCATCAGCGACCCAGGGCCAGGACCCAGGGAGCCGAGAGGGCTCTGACTTGCAGACTCAGCAGCCAGCACTGGGCCTTTCCGACTCAGTTGGGGAGCAAGGAAGAGGGGACAAGCATCCTCTCTGACACCCACCCCTCAGGGGCAGGTGACTGGCCTTCCACCTCAGCTCAGAAGCCCACTTACCAATCCTGACTCCTCTCAGAGCTTGTTTCCACAGAGATGGGCAAGGAAGAATAATAGTGGTGCTCGCTGCCTCCCTGTAAGTAATACACTGAATTATCACTGTTGTTACTGGAAAGTAACCTCTAGGATCACATTGGCCTCTCCTCCCTCCCCTCCCTCCTTCCCTCCTTCTTCCCTCCCTCCCTCCCTCCCACCTTTCCTTCCCCCTCTGCAGCAATGAAAAGCTATGCCCCCTGGTGCTGCCTATAAACTGTCCCAAACTGCTCTGGGAAGCAGGGAGTTGAGAAAGGAATAAAAATGTTATGATCTCAGGCTTGGCTCTGGCTTTCAGCCACAAGGCGGCGCCCAGTATTTCGAAAGCGAGACAGCCCTCTTGCCCCTGATTAGGGTGTTGGTTGGGGGTTGTTTCCGGGTCGACTCCCACTCAGATGAACAGTGCAGGCACCAGTCCCAGAAGTGCAGGCAGCAATCCCAGCAAAAGCGAAGGGGCTGCGGGTACCCAGGACACCGAAGGCCAGGGCGGAGCCAAGAGTAGGCAGCTGGCAAATCCCAGTCCTGAGCAACCCCCACTGACTCTGTCCCACTTCCCTAATGGGCCTGGTGCCCGGACCTCACCCGTTCCTCGCTGCCTGGGAGGTGCTGGGGATCTGACAATGCCCACAGCTCAAGCACCGCCCTTATATAGTCCCTGAGGTAGGTGCAGCTCTGCGCCAGCAGGAGGAGGAACCCGGCATTGGCCAGAGGGGTTGGGTGAAGGGGGGAGGGGGAGGGAGAGAAGGGCGGTGCTGGGTGGCTGGGAGCTGGGGCAGAGCTGCAGAAGGAGCAGGGTGGGGCAGCAGGGCGGGCACAGCAGGAGTCTGGGCACTGCCAGTAGAAGCCTAGATGAGGGGGAGCAGGGGGAGATGAGCACTTTTTTAGAGTCTGGGCGAACTCAGACGTCTGACAAGGACCTTATTTATAGCTTAGGTCCTGCCTAAGTGTGAATCACTGAGATGACATAATGTATCACCTCTTATAGGGCAAAGTAGCCCCTCTGAATCTCATCTATATACTCCAAATGGATTTTGTTTTTCTGTTTTTGTTTTGTCAGCTGACGGTCATTGGTGCCAGTTCAATGCCACCAGGAATCCCTAATTTAGGGTGCAGTGAAGGAGGAAACTTTATTCAGTGCAGAGTTCAATTGTGATACAGCTCAGTTACTAGCATGAAGCAGCAGGTGGCAAGGTGGCCCTCTCTGGCTAGCTAGCTCTGCTCTGCTCCATTCCCATCTCCCTCTTCCTGTTTCTCCAAGAAACAATCTTGGGTGGAAAGAGAAAGTGTGCTCCCAGAGCCAGAAGGAAGCTGGCTTAGAGATAAGTCCCCACCCCTGGTCTCTGATTGGTCCATCCTCATGCAAAGGAAGACTCCAAGTCCTCAAGTTTGATTGCTCCAAAAAGCACTGTCTTTATTGGTCGGAATGGAGCTGCTCTGGTTGGTTAGTGAAAATGCTGATAAGGATAGAAGTGCACAGTTCCAATTGAATGGGGAAAGCTTCAGTCTTAAAGATTGAAATATATTCTCGGGACTCCTTGCTAAGGGCTGGCTCAGATGCAGGAACACAGTGCAGGCTGGCAGCTCAGTGCAGTCTTCTCCTTGAAGTGCCCGCCTGGTGAGCCCCCACAACTCCTGCTCCCCTCCTTCTATAGAAATGGCTGCAAGGGTCTGTCCTATAATTTTGAGTCTATTCAGCCACCAAGAGTCTTTGGTAGGTGTCTTCTTTCTCAGGTTCCCCAGTTCCAGACAACAACCTTGATGTCACTATCTTTAAAACCAAAATGAAATTAGCCCATATTCTTCTCACAGTGATGGCAACACCACTAATTCTGTGGGTCGTTTGTTTGTTTCCCACTTTAAATGTCTGGGAATGTAACTTCACCAAAATTTATAGTGGTTGAGGGTCTGAAATAATTCTGCATTCATTGAACTTGTCCCCTGTTTTCTTACAAATCTCAACATGAAAGAGCAACCAAGAAAAAGCCCTATTTTGTGTGTGTGTGTGTGTGTGTGTGTGCGCGCGCGCACGCGCGCACTAGTATGGATAATATAGTGTGAAAGGGATTGTAGATTTTTGTTTGTTTGTTATTTACGCTGAGAACTTGTTTATCATGAAAAGGGTCTAGGAAGGCCCAATAATGAGTGATAAAAATACTCTTCATAGATTTTTTTTTTTAAGCAGGAAGAGTTTAATAATGAAGATTTTAGACTGATTTACAGTTTATTAAATAAAGAAACCAATACTTGTTGAAAGCCACTTATTGCTAAATTCAAGTGGTTTGATCAGATTTGGTAAGCTCTCCACCATTTCTCACAGAACCAGAGCACCACTCACTGGCTTCTTCAAGGAGGACAATGTGAGAAAGTCAGGAAAGAGAGGCTGCTCTGAGAAGTTGTTAAACTAAAATCTGAGGCACACTAGTTGAAGAAAAAGTTTTCTGAATTTTATTTTTTCTCCTGCCATGTTGTATTTGTGCTTACCTGGAGTTAGCAATCTGGTTTAAATAGAAAACAAAGCCATTTCCTAAGTTAATGTGTATACTGCATATATGGTTCAGACAAAATTGATCATTATACATCAATCAATCTATACATTTACTCTTTAGTGTGGAGGCAAAGTAACTGTTCTGTCAAATAACATTGGAGTATTCTCCTTGTGAATTTAAAATATAAATGGCCACAATCAAAGCTCAGAGATACTTACACACTCAGGAAGGTATGGTGTTTGGTATATCTGCCAAATGAGCACATGCTTACCCGAGCTCCCATGCAGGTATCTCCCCGAAGTGAGCACGTGCACCTGGAGACATGTACAGGAATGTGCATAGCAACGTGATTTGTATTAGACCCGCATTTGGAAACCACATAAATGCCCATCAGCAGAAGAACAGACTAATAAATACAACAGAATAATATACAGTAATAAAAATGAGCAAACTACAGCAATTCACAGCAACACGGCTGCATCTCACAGCTGCACTGTTGAATGAAAGAACAGACACAGGAAGCTGTGTGGTTTGGTTACAGAAAGTTCAAAAACAGACAGAACTAACCTATAGGGCAGGGGTGGGCAACCTTTTTGTGAGTGCGTGCCAAAACCAGTAAAATCTCTGAATCAAAATTCTTTTGCGTGCCAACCCTAATTTTTGGAGAACATGTTACGCCTACTTGATATCTCTTAAGAAATGTGAAGAACCTTGAAGAAATAATTTGAACAACAAAAACACAGTATATGATGATGAAAA